GTACTAAAACTCCAAATATATGGGAATACAGTACTTAATGTATTTCATGCTATTTTCCAATATACTTTGTTATATTGTTGTTTCAGAAGGGTATACTCATTTGCATCGTATAAAATAATCATTTACTGTGACTGACATCATCTAGCAGTTTAGCTCCACTGTCCTATTCACCATTTCTTGATACACAACCATGACAGTTTTAGATTCTTCATTACCAAAAATTAAATAACTTCCTTCTCATTGTATTTTAAGTATGAATGGAGTTCCATACATCAGTAAGCTGTTTACCCATCAATAAACTGGTTCCAAATCAAATTGCTGCTTTGGTGAACCGATTGTAAACTCTTGTGAATGTGGCCCAGGTTTCTGGCAGACTCTGTGTCACACCAGTAGCCACACCAGTCGTATTAGTGGTTGTGTTTCTCCAAATCAAGACCACATTGGCCATAAACGTCTCTACTTCCTGCCCCCGGCTCTCTTCCTTTGGCTTCAATCAAGATGATAAAAATGCTATAAATGACTTTTCCAGTCTGTTTTCTCTCCAAACCTTAGTTTGTTTCTGCTCCTGTCTCATTTTGTAGAAAGCAGGGTTATTTTCATCTGCAGTTGGGAGATCAGTTTCCATCATAATGCACAAAGAGAAGCAGAAGTTTGCGTCTGTGCATGAGGGCATCCAGACATGAGCCCTGTGTGCATTAATGAGATTTATGATGCTCATAATGAAAACTTGTATCTGGGTGCAGGCAGACAGCTGGGCAATAAAACCACCAGGCATTCTGTACCATCAGATAATCATCTCCATCAGTGCTGTGTCCTGCACAAACTAACACAGAAACATGCAGAAATGCAAGAACACACGCTTGTGCTTCATTGCTCTGTGTACGGCTAAAAGTGTACCATGAGAGTCTGTGAACTGGTCCAGTTTAACTGCTGCTGCTGCAGATCGGAGAAACACACAAAACAAAACATCTATCTAGAGAGCTAGCTATCTATTTATATAGCTAGACAGATATTTTGTTAAATAGCTAGCAAGGAGAAGACCTTGAACACCAGAAAAAATTAGACCTAGGTCTGCCATGCCACACCTGGTATGAACAGGAGCAGGACGTACAAAGAGACCCTAGAAACATTCCAGTGTCGCAGTTAGATACCAAAGTTATCGGATATATTGGGATTCTGATCCCAATATATTGTGCATTTCATGTCATTACATATAAATGTATACTACAAATACGAAACCTATGTCAAAATCAACAAAAAAGGACTTCATAAGAAGAAAAATCCAAATTCCAAGTTTTAGATTTATCAAATAAAACAAATAAAATGGAATTCAATCAAAATATGCTCAATAAAGTATTACCTTAAAACTATTATTTCCAAAAGGTATTGTTGGACCTTTTGTGCTTTTTTTCTTCTAAAAGGAGTTTTTAGTGGAATTGTACAGGAAGGTTTGTCTTGTTTTTGTACATGACAAGAGCTTGGTATTTAACAGGGGTGTGTGGACTTTAGAGATGACTGTGTGAGTGAAGAGGAAGAGGGTGGTGACAGAAGCTCCCAGATAGAATCAGGGAAAGAATGCAAGAAAATCTCCCAGTGAAATCATTAAAATATGTGTAATCTTCTGACATATGAAATGTTGGTCTCCTCCATTTGTTGCGGAGTTAAGTAGCAGCAGAATGGAGAATTTCTCGCCGTTCTAGTTTTCATTCCGTCGTTGTTGCTTTTTGCTCTCCCATCAGACAGAGAGAAGAAAAGTGGATGGTTCATCTGAGAGTGGCCTCCGCTTCACCCCCCCAGTGGGGAATTCACAAACACTTGCACACCTCCTCCCGCTGGATTTCACCAACATGTTAAATCTCCCTCTAACCCACACACATCATCACAAACCCAAACGCAGCGCAAACTGCAGCTCCTGTCCTCCAGGCTGTCTTTGTTCGACTCGTCAGCCTGGGATCTACACAGAAGCTAAAAAACACCCATAAATCCCACATGCTGTATTTTGTGACATTTTTCCATTCCACTAATTAAAAATACATCCGGGGGCTCTCTGTCCTCAGTTCCTCGTGGTTGTGTTTGTTTTTTCTTCTCCTTGTTCTCATCTTATTACTGACAATCCAACAAACACTTCTCTGGGAAAGTTTTCTGACCGTTTCCCTCCAGGCCTCCTTATTTAGCCCTTCTCATGTAGCCTGTCACACCGGCCTAATTGATCTGACTCTGCGTCCCAGTATGAACAGATTAGCCCCAAATTCAACTCAGTTCTATTCAACTCAAGTCCAAAATACTTCATGTTTTTGATTTTAAAATTAGTCACATCCTAGAACCAAAGTCTTGGGTACAAGAGCAGAGCGTAGGATCGTCAGTACGCTTTGGGCTGGATTCAGACCCGCTGTAAGAAGAAGTGCTTTCATACAGCACAAGGACAGAGAATCTCATAATTACTGCTGTCTTCTGCTTCCTTTCATTTAGCAGATCCACCAGAGAGCCTCACATGGTGAAAAAGAGCATTAGACAGATGCTAGCTCATGGAATGACTCATCAGTACCGGAAACTCAGGGCGCCTCTGGTGAGCAGCGTGCGTCAGTAGAACTGGATCATTTGCGTTATATTTTCATGCATTTGCAGCAATGGAAGCACATTTGGTATAAGCTGACAAAGCTTAGAGACTTCCTGTCTGGCCAGTAAAAGCAGCATGAGCCTCTTCCTGCATCCTCAGTTGTAGGAGCCCACCTGGTGTGGTACACACACGCACACACACACACACACACACCTTCATCCCACACACTGTATCACATCTGCACCTAATAAATAACAACAGCAGGAGGATTTCCCTGTGTTGCATCCTGGTGGAATACTAAACATGTCAACAGCAAAAGAAAACTTAAACCAGTTTAAAATGGCAAAGTGCAGAATCCTTTAAAGTTCGGTTAGGCTGAAGTTTGAACTTTAGCAACTTATTGTGGCTAAAGGTTACTGTAAGATTACAAATATGATTTTGGATGACTTCATGCTCCCAACATTGTGGGAACATGGCAACCTGTTGTTCCATCATGACTATCCAACAGTCCATAGTAATATCCATAAAGACAGGAATAAGCAAGTTTTCTTGGGAATTGTATTGAGTCCTGTCCTCAATCCAAGGATTTCTTTTGTCATCATCTTGAATGTGAACAACACAAATGAAATAGCTGTAGATGTATTGGAAAAGGGAAAATGACAGACACTATTTCCATCCCAGGAGAGGAGGTAGAAGTGATGGAGGAAGATGAACACATTGTGTTCACTGTGAGGATGCAACAGTGAAGAGGGGAAAGAGCAGAGTACTTTTTGAGGACCCTTTGGTCCTTCAGACTTTGTACCAAGATACAGGTCTTCTGTAAGTCTGCAGTGGAGAGTGTAATCTCCTCTACCATCATCTGTCATCATTGCCAGGCTGGAAGGCAAACATAGCTCCTCAGGTGAGCTTTGGATCTTCCCCGGGGTGTCCTACCATCAGGGCAATAGTAAAAAAAGCTCCAAATGAGGCCAACTGGCCAGGTGCCTCATCTGATTCCTCTCAACATGGGGGAGTAGAAGCTCTAGTCCTTAATCTATCTCTAAAGACTCCCTCATACTTCATCTCAAGTGCTGAAGTCGGTTGTCTTTGACGTAGATGTATCATTTTATTTGCACAGAGGCAGCAGACTGCCAAACTCAGCACCAGACCCGGGTCAAACTATTTCCACAGAGCTCTGTGCGAAGTGTTGTCTGGTTGGTCAGAAGTTTGTTAGTGTTTTGTGAAAGACGCTCGGATATGTTGATATTTCGCTTTAGCTAATTCTGTTCCAATATCAGGGTTTTGTATCCACAAGAGACATGGATGATTTTCAATTCAATTCAGTTCAAAAACATTTTACTGATCCCAAAGGGGAATTAAATGTTGTTGTAACTCATCAATTCCAGAAAGAGTTATTGCAGATGGGTGATGGCTGCTGGCCATAGTGTACAGACCACTACAGGAGAAAGATCTCCTGTAGTGGTCTGTATTACAGTGAATTTGAAGAAGCCTCTGACTGAAGACACTCTGTTTTCCAATAAAAGTCTCTCATCATCAGTTTGAGTAGTGTTTGCCATATGCAGTGAGCAGTTATGTATGCTTGTACGATTCTTCACTCAATAACTGCAAAGACTGTCAAATATTTAATAACTCCTGGGGGAAAATTATAACATTATCATAAACGGAGGAGGCTGTCTGTGGAAAGGTGTGGCGCTGTCCCTGTCACTGTTTCATAAAACCGAAGTAGAGGATGGTAGGCGTGTCTTCAAGGTGATCTACGCCATGACCTAAAGGTGTGTGTGTGAATATGAACAGTCAAATAGAGGCAGCCAGAACAGTGGTTCTATGTGGATAAAAACACATTTTCATGAATTATATCAGATCAAAAATCAATACAGGAAATATCAGGCTAATAGAGTAGTGATAAAGTTTACTATTTATATGTCAACTGCTTGGCTTCAGATGAAGTTTGGGGGAACCTTAAGTCTGAGTCCAGCTAGCTTACAGAGGAACCTCCATTCAGCCATTCCTCCTTAAGGCCATGATCTACATGTCACAACCCTTAGTGAAGGTCAGAAGGCAGATGAATGGTTACATCACTGTTTGGTTCTGCACAGGCTAGAGTAGCAAAATCGCTTATGAACAAGACACCAAAATACCAGAAATCTTTTAACTGACACACATATTCTCTAATTTCAAGCTTCAGCTACAGACATCCTATGAGGAATTTCAGTCAGTGAATGACCAGCTTTGTTCCTATCATGTCTCAGTGTCTTTAACCAGCCCTGTAGTTTTCTTTCTAACTTTGTAACCTTGTGTTCCTCTAGGCTGCTGGAAACCCTTTCACCAGTTTACTGAGCATGCTTCCAGGACCAACGACAAAAGTGGAGGAAAAAATGGACAGAAAACCAACAGTTATAGTATTTTGCACACATAGGTGTTCTTCTTTAACAAACAGACCTACCTCTAGTGTTGGTAGCCATGTCTGCCACTTTCTGAAAGGCATCCAGGAAGGCCACAGCAGCCAGAACAGTGGTTCTATGTGGATAAAAACAAATTTTCATTAATTATATCAGATCAAAAATCAATACAGGAAATATCAGACAAATATCAGACTAATAGAGTAGTGATAAAGTTTACTATTTATATCTATTGAGGTCTTTACACAATAAGTCATTGTCTTGCAAAAAACCAAGACAACGACTAATTGTCATTGTCTTGGTTGTCCAAAGGAGCTTGCTTTGGAATATGGCAAAGCAAGCTCCTTCAACTTGCTTTGCCATATTCCAACCATATTCCATATTATATTTCCATATTCCATAAACTTCATGGTGTTTAATTGGCGGTCTTAGTCACAAACATAGAGAAACAATGTACAGCAGTGATGTCTTCAGCCCCGCGAATCAATACTTTAGGAAAACTTTGTAGAAAAGCTTTTGGGATGAACTCTTTAGCAGCTTTGCACGTCTTCTTTCACAATAGCTCAAGCTCGGTCATAATAGATGTGACAAATCTTTGACAATTAATTTTACTGTCTAGTCACACAATTCTCACCTGGGTTAAGGTCTGGACTTTAATGGGCTTGTTCTGACCAGCATAGCTCCATCCATTAGTTCCATCATTTTTTTTGCCATCTGTCCTAACTACTGGCCAGAGAAACATTCTCAAATCATGATCAGTACTTCTTATGGCTTTTATCCAAGAATACCTCGAGCCATTTTTTATTTGTAACAAAGGCAGGATTTGCGAGCACAGCTAACGGTCCTGCTACTGACAGGCTCTTCCAACCAAACTTGAGATTTCTGCAGCTTCTCCAAAGTCAGCATCATCTCTTCACTTTACAGTCATGTGCTACTTTGTAATTCTGTGTTCTGTAATTCAAACAGAACACACTGAAGTTTGTGGTTGTAATCTGACAAAGTGTGAAGAAGTTTAATGTATATAACTACTTTTGCAGGGTGTTGTGTGTTTTATTTAGAGAGTGGATCTCTTGGTTTCTGCAGAGCTTACCGGAGCTGGGAATGCAGCTTGGTGGCCTTGGCGCTGAAGTCCTCCCACACAGGATAGGAGCACTGGCAACACAAATAGTCAGATGAGTTATTACTGACAAACATTTATTAAAAAAGTTCCTGTACATTTATTTTCTCTGCAGTTATGATACAGAGGGCGCCAGAGTAATAATAATAATAATTAAAAAAAAAAACATATTCAGTTACAATGGATGGTTTTCTTTTGGACTTTATAAGCAAGTGTATTATGTAAAAGGTTTCCAATTGACTGGGTCTGGTTGGAAACATTCATCCCCAAAGTACCACTATAGCGCTGAAACATATTTCAAACAAAACTGGACAACTGGAGTTTTCATATATGAATTATATTCTGTGCTATCCTTTGACCTAATGCAACACAAGAACATTTAACAATCACCTTTTTAAACATTAAATTCAACATACAAAAACATTTCTCATGAATAACTGTTTATGTCGAGAATTGACAAATTGCTATATTTATTCAATTATTTTTAAATTTGCAGAAGAAAACAGTAATAATGAGTTAACATCAGTGATAAGCTAACATCAATTTCTATACCAAACAGGAAGTGATTTTACTTTGTAAAACCATATGCGTGTTTGGTATTATGTAGTTTGTATTTAGGAATTATAAAACCATCAGAACATTCATCGAAAAATCAGGATGTTGGACGTGTAATTCCAAATAAATTCCTAAAATATGACCTTTTCCTTCCTTGTTCAAACAGATAATTCAAACGTACACGTCTGTGTTTCTATTCAGTCAGAAATGGCTAACACGATATTTTCTCATCGCTCTATTCTGTTGCATCTTGCTCTACTTATCTGCCTTGTTTTCTACTTCATTTACTCAATTCCCTGTTTTAGATCCTCAAAAGCATTACCACAGACTCACATGTAAACACACAAACACACACACAAACACACAAATCCTTGGACTTCCATCAAACTGAGGACTGTGTATTGGCTTTCATTCATTTAGTAACTGAATTTATGCCCAGACATTTTCCATAACCATTACTAATCTGTTGCTAACCTTAGCCAAAATGTAACCTCTAAATCAACAGAAGTTCAAAAATAAAGGAGGTCCAAGAAAAGATCCTCACTTTGAACGAATGACCTCTCTTTGTTGGTAAAAATGGTGAAAGTGGTCCTCTATGAAGCATATACAAGTACACATACACACACACACACAAGTGCACGCACAAAAACATATGCCAGTGGTACACTGTACCCACCCCCAGCTTTCACCCTTCATTCACCTCTTCCTTTATCTCCCCAAACCCCTCCGCTCCTTCGGGTGCAGCCATCTAATCCATCTACCACACAACACGCGTGTGCGTTCTCACATGCCTATAAACACACACACACACACACACACACACACACACACACACACACACACACACACACACACAGTGCTCGACGGCCACTGGCACTAAGCGGCATCAAAGGGCTCGACGAGAACATTCCCGGATCGTTAACACAATCTGGAGCTGAAGGTGTGTCTCTAATGGATGCATCCCCCATTCTCCCAGCACTTCTTTAATCCACCCCCTCCTCTCCCTCTCTCCCTCTCAGCTCCTGAACATATTACATTATACTTGCTCTAGGTTAACCTGCAACCTTGTTAAGTGCTTGCAAATTGTGTGAGAGGGGAGAGGGGTAGAAGGAGAGGAGTGTCTATATTCAGTGTGAGGTTCAAATGTCTGTAGGGGATATAGAGGCTCTGCAGACAGAAACAAGTCAAACACTGGAATGATTGGAAATGTGAAGGTTGAGTGGAGACAGTAGGAAGGAAAGGTGTATCTATGCATGCGCATGTGTGTGTGCGTGTGCAAGTGCGTGTGTGTGTTGGGGGTGGGGTTTCCGGTCTGGATGTCAGACTCTTCGTACAAACAGTAACGGCTGCACACTCTTTGATCCGGTGTGTTTGATGTGGCTTAATTTGGTCTGAAATCACAGTCGTATGTCCCTGTGGTACTGTACTGGAAGGCACCCCCCCCCCCCATCTACCATCTACACCACACACACGCACACACACATGCAGATTCATCCACAACACTCCATTTGCAGGGTGTTTAAAGCAGCCAGTGGGGCTTAAGCAGTGGGGATGGGAGATAACACAGAGTGAGTCTTTCCAGCTTTGCACTTCATTTGCATATTTCTAGCAGCTCCAGCCGACTACAGCGCATGGCGACCGAGTAATGTGTGAGTGTTCTGGGTTTATCTGTCCCCCCTCTGACTTAAATCTGCAAGCTCAGTTCATTCTGTTGTTATCTGGAGCTGGTAACGGGATCCGTTCTGAACGATGCGCCAAACCAAATAATAGGATGTGTCCCAATAGTTTTCCCAGTCTCCCAAAAACAACTTGATTTATGCACTGCATAGATTCCAAATATCAGGGAAAAAAAATGTCAAAAATATTCAGAGGTATTGTTATAAAAGTTGAATAAGTGCTCTTCAAATCACCAGGGTTACCAGATCAGACTGACCGTTTCCAATCCAAACACAACGTAAAACCTGCCCTGCTCCAAAAGAACAGGCCAAGTGCCAACCTGTAATGAGACTCATGTTAACAGACATGTATAGTTCACACACACACACATGCATAAACATATATATATAGTCTGTGACCAGAGCCAGAACCAGCACTCTCTCTCACACATAACTGGGGAACTTAGAGCCTCATGGTAGCCAAGAGGCAAACAGCATCAGCATGTTAGAGAGTGAGAGGGAGACAGAGAGTGTGTGAAAAGCTTTGGGATTGTCAACTATTACATCACCACTTCCTGTGTCACAAAAAAACCACTCAGCACAGCATGGATGATTACCTCCTGAGAACACACACACAGATGTGTGCTCTGTACTTGGAGTATGTTCCCTTTTTGACAGACAGCTAAAACTTATCCTACAATAATCCCCCAGCACAACGACTCTTCCCAAATTATTGTTTGTTTCACAATAAAGAACTCTTGCCAAAAGTGTTAAGTTTTCTGTAACCACTCCATCACTGTGTGTATGTTGGTGTTGGGGTGTTTTATGGTATACCCTAGACTCTAGGGTATACCATAAAACATCTGCCACTCCATCACACAAGACAAATCACAACTTTTCTCCCTTTTCTTTTGTTGTCTTTGCCACATTTCTGTTTCACCCTCACAGAATCTATTTGTTTTTTTGTTATTTGAATTATGATTTTTTTTTCCCATTTCATGACCATCAGCTAATCATTTCCTTCAATGAGACAGCTCATTCTATCTGCGTTTCCATTGTCTATTAACTGGTAGTTATCCACAAAGGCCTGAAAAACAAACAAAAACGAAAACATTTTTGACATTGTTCATTCCCTTCTCTCCATGACTGTCTGATGTAGTAACCATTAATTTGCACACTGAAATAACATTGCTCCGGGGATATGCTGTAAGGTTTATCCCGCTGTGACTTTTCTTAGCCAATGAAGACATACATATAGCACAAATAAGGAGAAACTAGGGAAACAAACAATTGTTAATAGGCTTTGTCTCTCTGCTTTGGGATTGATATGCTCAAAAGATTTGACATGTTTGGTAAAACTGCTTCAAGGACAATGGAGACTGAGCAGGGAGCTAAACTGCTCTACTAATGTATGGGAAAAATGTATCAGCAATTTGAGTAGGGAAAGACTGATTTACTTTGAGGTGTCATTTGATCAGTGAACATATTTTTTAGCTGACGTAGCACAGACCCATTTAGCATCCAAACAGAAGACCACCTTTGACTAAATCCACCAAAGGATTACAAGTGACCAACCTAAAATCAGATTCCACTGATCTTCAGTTGAACAGTAGTGGGAATCAGGAACCACAAAGAATGCTCCGGAAATTTGAAATCTGGACACATTGCATGAGATTTACAAGATAAAACTGAATTTATATTGCTACTTCCTTGTCGAAATAGTGTTAATAAAACTGGTCCTGTTCTAATGGATGTTACTAGTAGCTAAACTGGGTTTGCGCTGAGCTTATGAGTTTTTCTTCTACCCAGCTCTCTTCCCTCTGCATTCTCCAATGCAGAAATCCTTCACTTTATCCCTACTATGACTTTAGCCTTGTGTTCTGTCAACGGTGCTGTGGCCTAGTTCTCATAGCATCAGTCCGCCCAGTCTGGCCAGCCTTCCATTGAGAGCCCCACTCCACCACTCACTACAGTGGACGGAGAGCTTACTGTCTCCTCTCATTCTTTTGTTCCCTTTGTTTCCCCCACAGCAAGACAGAAAAACAGAGGAAATCCAGCAAGAGAGACAGAGACAGAGGCAGAGGGGGAAAAGGTGGAGACGGGCAGAGAGGGATGTAGGGATTAGCTCTTTTTTTTTTGTCAAATAACCAAATCAATTTATACATTAAAAGACATTCGCAAGAGTCCAACAAAGAGGCTAATTTCAAAGTGCTTTATATGCATAATGGACTGCTGGGGAACATTCTCAAAGAGGATGAAACATAATTTTATGAAGGTTTGCCATGGCTGTGTCCCTGTACTCCCCTCAGGTCTCTCAGATGTACCGTTTTGTTACTGTTCTCCCATCACACCAGCTTAGACTTCCTTAAGGGCCTCCTTTCATTTAGATGATAGTCTGATATTTTTCTTTTTCTCATGATTCAGTTGTTTATGTACTTCTGTTTGATTATCATAAACCATTACTGCAATTGCACACTTATTAGAGACCATCCATCAATCCATCCGTAGGACGACTGTCCTGTGGACCAAAGGCAAACGTCCCACCAACGCTTTCCATTCTATTGTTTTCAATAACATGAAAAACAAAACACAATTTCTTTTCCTCCGAATGTGTGAACTCGTATAGTCATTCCTCTCTTCCATGACTACTATGTTTACTGTTGCTGTTCAAAACCACACAAAACACCAAATTAAGCTAGAAAGCACATTTTTTACATATTTGGGTAACACCACCATTATTCAAAACTTTAAAATCAATTTCAATTTTATTGCAATTAATCTCACATTAAAATAAAAATCAGAAAAACATGATTTGTTTGGTTTTTGTTAGGTATAGATTTGTTTAGTCCATTATGCTACCACAACAA